GGAGGTAGAGCCGCCTTGGGTGGGTAGCTACTGTTTTTAACATTAAACTTTTCACTTGTGCAACTGTCCCCTTGGAGTCACGATGTATCATACACACACATACATGTATAATTTATTCGTGTGCTTTATATTTGTATAGGACTTCTGTCCTCATAATGATGAGAAATACTTATCTATAGTTTTTTTCCCTTATAATGTCTTTGTTTAGGTTTTGGTAATGTATCAGGGTGATTCTGATTCTGGATTCATAAAACGAATTGTCAAATTGTTCCTTCTTTTTCTATTTTCTGGAAGCCTTTGTTTAAAATTACTTTTTCTGTAAGTGTTTGGAAGCATTAGCTAGTGAAGCCATCTGGGCCAGGTGTTTTCTGTGAGGAAAGATTTTAATTATTGATTAAATTGAACAGACATGGGATTCTTTTCTTGTGTGAGTTCTGTAAGTAATTAGTCCATTTGATGTAACTTTTTAAATTTATTGGCATAAGATAGCTCATACTATCCTCTAATCCTTTTAATATCCAGAGAATTTATTGTAATCTTCCCTTTTTTGTTTCTGATACCAATAATTTATTACTGATTTTTACTTGATTGGTCTTGTTAGGTTTATTAATGTATTTTTTCAGAGACATAACTTTTGGATTTGCTGGCTGCTTATTTATATTTTTTTTCCATTATATACCTGCTTTCTATTGCATTGGTTTCTCTTTTTACCTTTTATTCTCACAGATCAGTTTTTAGTCCATTTAGAGTTGTACAGCTATCACTGCAATCTAATTTTAGAACATTTCATCACCCCAGCAAGAAGCTCCATCCACATTAGCAGTCATACTCCAATACTGTTTCCCCACCCCAGTCTTTGATGACTGCTAATCCATTTTCTATGGTTTGCCTATTCTAGACATTGCACATACATGGAATCATGCATGTAGCCTTTTGTGACTGTCTTCTTTCATTTAACAATGTTTTCAAGAGTCTTCTGTGTTTTAGCATGTGTCAGGAATTTTTTAATTGATAAATAAGATTTTATGTATATACAGATGGTCTTCAACTTATAAGTAAAAATATTATGAGGCAAAAATGCATCTAATACCCTGAGAAAACTAAAGTCAAAAAGTCATAATTTTGAACCACTGTAAGTTGAGTACCATCTGTACTACATTTGTTTATGCATCCATCAGTTGATGAACACTTAGATTGTTTCTATGTTTTGGCTATTATGAATAATGCTGCTGTGAACATGTATGTAAAAATCTTGTGTGAATGTATTTTCATTAATTTCTCTTGGAGATAGACCTAGGAGGTGGTGTTACTGGGTCGTAAGCTATCTCCATATTTAACTTTTTGAGGAACTATAAAACTGCCATCTGCAGTGGCTTTACCCATTTATAGCCCCACTAGCAATGTGTGAGGGTTTCAGTTTCTCCACATCTTCACTAACACATGCCATTGTATCTCTTTTTTAGTGTAGACATCCTAATGACTCTGAAATGGTATCTCGTGGTTTTGATTTGTATTTCTGTAAAGACTGATTAGGTCCTAGAGCATCTTTTCATGTATTCATTGGCCATGTGTATATCGTCTTTGGAGAAATAGCTCTTCAAATCATCTTCCCATTTAAAAATATTTTTTATTGTTGACTGAGTATGTAACATTTACCGCATACAAAATTCTTGTGAGATATGATTTGCAGATGTTTTTCCCATTCTATGGATTGTAATTTTACTGTCTTAATGGTATCCTTTAACACATACAAGTTTTTAATTTTAATGAAGTCCAATTTATCTCCTTTTTGGGTCATTTGTGTGTTTTTGTATTGTAAGAAACCACTGCCTAACCCAGAGTCATGATTTACTACTAGTTTTCTTCTAGGAATTGTATGGTTTTAGCCCTTACAATTAGATATATGATCATTTTAAGTTAATTTTTGTAAATGGCATAAGGTAGGCTAAATTCATTCTTTTACACACGGTTACCTCTTATATTTACTTTTGGTTTGTGTTTTTTGAGAAAAAAATGTCAGAGTTCTAATTTCTAAAGTTTCTACTTTTCTAATACACGTTTCTAATAGAAGGAAATGTTGACCTTTTAATAAGTATTGTTTTAATTATATTCCACTATTTTTGCTGTGTCATGTTTTCATTGTCATGCAGTAAAAAGTATGTGCTAATTCCCATTGCAACTTCTCTTTGGGTTATTCAGATGTGTGCTGGTTAATTTCGAAACTTTTGGGATTTTTCTAGACTTGCTATATTGCCAGTATATAACTATTTTGGTAAGTGTTCCACATGTGTGAGAAAATATATCTGTGGTTTTTTGATGTAGTGTTTTACATATATTGAGATAGAGCTAGGGTCCCAATTATGCCTTTCAGGTGAGTAAAGACACCTCTAGATCATTCTAGCCCCAGGTTGTTGAGTCTGTCAGCTGAGGCTGCAGACAAGCCATCTATCTATCCTATACCATGCCCAGCTTGGACTAGAATATAATGATTGTTTTTGAATGGTTTGTTATGTAGCACTACTAGGAAGGCTGTTCTACTTTGTAAGCTCAATATTTGAGAAAGTCTATGCTTTCTCATAATCCTTCTGGAATGTAGAATTATGAAACTGAAGTTTGAGAAATTCTAGCATAATGTATTTTATATACATTTGGAAGTAACCAAGATGTATTGATTTTTATAGCTATAATTTGAGTATCTACTATCATATACTTGAAAAGAATGTCATCAAAAGGTATACCTAAAATCTTGTGCCCCTTTTTCCTACGTTGTTCCCCATGTAGTTTATCTTGTGTGTATAAAAATAAGACTGCAAACAGATATTCACACAGGAAATACTACTGAAGGTAACATTCAGTTCTGAAATGCATAAGAGGATAGTAACCAACTGCTGCAAAAGTGAAGGAAAAGTATTTCTGGCTATCCTGATTTCAAATTGCTGGTAAAAAAAAAAAATCCATCAGAATAAAGCAAATCTCTCTCTCTCTACAGGATGAGGTATCTGCATCTTTGCTCACTGGTTGAGACAGCTGCCACCCATGTTCTCATGCTGATGCCTGGCTGAGCTCTTAGGTAAGCATAAGGCTTGGTCTCTTATTCAAGGTCCTGTGTGAGTACATTAATCATCTGCTACACGCTGTGCTTTCAGGATTGCTGGGTAGAAACGTTTAAAAGAATATTTGTGTAGTTTGGGCCACTAATATGAAAAAAATGCCAGGGTAGAGTTAAAGAAAAAAAGTCTTTATTTAGGCCATCAACTAGGGTCATAATAAATAATGCAATATACTAATGTAATAACAGATGTTCTCATGCGTTTAGCACATTTATAAATATACAAGAAAGCTGGCTGTGGGGACAAATTTGGAAAAGTGTATTTGGCAATACAGTAGAAGTTAACAGTGTTAAGACTATTGGATTCTTAGTGTTTTATTAAAATACATCCCCTAGACATCTGTGAATAAATGGTAATGTTCCTTTATAGTTCTACCTTTTGTAAACATGCCAGAGTTAAAAGTTAATGGCCCAAGATACTGGAGAAAAGAAATAAACAACTCTTCTGCATTTGAGTGTGGACGCTGATAGATTAAAAGCCTGAATCATTCAATAAAATGTACCTGGATGAAATAAAACTCAAAAGTAGAAATTTAGACATGGAAACTTTGATATGTGATATATAAGGCTGCACTATTATGTTTGTAATTTGATAAGTAAATGACCAATTAATCTGATGGCAAAAGTGATGAACTTTGATTAAAGCTTAATTTTGCTAGTAAATTTCACACAAAGGGTTAAAATAGGATAACCTTTAACATAAAGCTTTAGAATAATTTAAACATATCTTAAACACTGAAAATGTGTTTTAATTGTTATTTACAGTTAATCAGTGATATAAGTATTGAGCTTAATTTAGCCAATTGCCAGTCTTGAATTCCTCTTTAACATCTGTTATTATGATCTTCCTTACAAATACTTAGGCAAATTAGTTTAGTGAAGGAGAACGATCTGTAGTCCAGAGTAATTCGATGTAGGGCCATTTGGTTTGGAGACAGCGTTTAATAGGAGTGTCATCCGTTTGTAGCATGGGATCTTCAAAACCCATAACAACTGCAGTCCCTTCTACATACATAACCTGTTAAAATAAAGCCACCGAGGTCATCCAACAGTGTTAGCAAATGCTTATATGGAATGCAAACAGGTTTTACAGGCTAGCCCGTAAGGTATTACAGATAGAAATGAGCAAGCACATCTGATTAATGTGAAAATACAGTTGTAAAGGAGATGGCAACACAAATTTTAACAGCTAGCTGACCCGGAGATTTTTACAAATCAAGATGATTTAAAAAGTATATGTGAATGATAAAACACATACTGTTTCTCACAAAAGATCACTTTTCAAATAATATGTACCATTTGAAAATTGCACGTCTATATTATATTTACATAGGCCCTCCTGCTTTGCTGGTGAAGCATTGCATACCCATGCTGCCTCCTGAAATGGAAAGCGATCACAGAAATAGCTGTTTGTTCTGAGGAAGATTTTACTTTCGAGTATTGAATTTTCAGAGCTGAAAACAATTGGCAGTTATTGTATTGACTACTTCTGATTGCAGATCATGAAACTATGTACAGCATGAAAAATCATGGAGAGGCCAGGAATGGTGGCTCATGCCTGTTAATGCTAGCACTCTGGGACACAGAGACAGGTGGATTGCTCGAGGTGAAGAGTTCGAAAACAGCCTGAGCGAGACCCCATCTCTACGGTACATAGAAAGAAATTAACTGGCCAACTAATAGATATAGAAAAAAATAGCCGGGCAAGGTGGTGCATGCCTGTAGTCCCAGCTACTCGGGAGGTAGGAGGATCGCTTGAGCCCAGGAGTTTGAGGTTGCTGTGAGCTAGGCTGACGCCTGGGCAACAAAGGAAGACTGTCTCAAAAAAAAAAAAAAAATCATGGAGAAAACATTAAAAGGGATGTCAGGACAGAAACAAAACTCAAACAGAAAAGGTGATAGAGCAAAGTAACCAGGTACTTTACATGCAGTGGCAATGGTCATACAGGGTTTTGTTATGGCCAAAATACTTTTAATTCATTAACGACGGCTCACTGTGGACATTAAAGCACTCCTCAGTCATGAATTTTTTTGTATCTACAGAAATTCTGATAATTTACAATTCAAAAGGAACACAGACTGCCTTCTTCCAAGGTATGTATAATTATTTTTATACATTCACTAGCTGATACACATGATTGTAATTGTGTTCTTCCAAAATAAAAGCCATAAGCTATTTGACTAAAGAGCCAAAAGAAACAACTTTTTAGCCTTAAATGGTAGTTGCCTTTAAAGCACATTAAAAGTAGGAATAGAATTTTATATTACTAGATCAGATACTTTGGTTTTTTAGGAAGCTCTAAAGACATACCTTTTTTTTTTGGTTACTATATTAGTTGGTTTCTAGTATAATAGATTTAATATTAATAGTAAATTTATATAACTCCCACTTTTACAATTAATACAATAGATCCTATCTTCTACAAAGGACTGCATGTACTCACAGCATGTGAGTAGCTGTTGCACTCTCCCCCTAGTGGCTTCAACTAGCCAGCATTCTCCTTTTGTGGTTCCTTTGATTATATGTCCAGCTCCTGAATAACTTAATGACACACATGCTGTAGAGCTGTTACACACTACTAGTGTCATATTTCATCTTTTTGATTTCTGATCTTTATGTTAGTGTGTCAGATACTTGTCACAAGCATGACTTAAAAACTTGGTCTGCTTGGCCACACTGCCTGTGTATACTACGGACAGGACTGGGAATCAGGAACTCAGTTCCAATGACTTGCTGTGTGACCCTGGGTGAATCACTTAACCTCCCTGTCTCAGATGCCTCATCTGTAAAATATGGATAGTATTCGACTGACCTACCTTGCAGGGATAGTGTAGGTGAATAATCAGTGCCTATGGAGTACCTCCTATTACAAAGTTATGTAAAAACCTCAAAAGATAGATGAAGCATTCATTAATACACATGAGGAAATAGCATCTGAGTATTCTTGTGAAAAGATTTTAGGAACTAAATTTACTTTTATAACAAAATATAAAGTCTATTACACTTGTCCTGACTAAAACTAATTTACATTATGATCTGTTTTCTCTAGCCATCCTCAATTTAGATACTTACGAAACCAGCATGGGTAGATCAAGTGAGGCACTGTTCCTTGTAATATTAGCCACAGCTACTGTGACTTACTTGGCTACATGCAACAGGACAGACATATGTGTACACCATGCTGAGGTGTAATCAAAAAGGGGCAAGCGGTGAAACCAAACCATGGCTTTAAAACAAGTGAGACTGCCTAGAAGTGAATCACCATGTACTTTTGTCAATGATCACAAGGAAAGGAGCAGAGCAAAGTGGGTTAAGAGCACAGGCTCTGAACTTGCAACTAGCCAGGTTTCTCTCGCTCTTCCTGACTGTGCGCTTCAGTTTCCTCCTCTGTAAAATGGGGATACACACATAAGTTTCATGCTACCTTATGAAGTATTAAGATAAAATATTTTTCTTAATCATAAATCTATTTTATCCCTTTCTCCATTTAAATGGATCAGTGATGTTTTTATTAGACTAACTATAATGTTGATTTCCAAACATGTACAGAGATAGCTAAGGGCAACCATATGTATGAAGATGCAGTTAATTTGTCACAGTGAAACTAGTGCTTCAAAATTCAATGTTGAGTATTATCTATTGGTCAAGTCAAAAGGTGACCACTTCCAAAATGTGTTGTGATCGTACAGAGACTCCTAGAAAATTGTATGGGAATCAAACACTGTTATGTACTCACATATTTATCACCCAGGTGAAGACAAATTACTGTGAATTCTCATACCTTTTCATTATAATTTGATTGCTTCAATCCATTGTAGTGGTAGACAGTAAAAGACTCTGGACCACTGGAGCCCTATTATAAATAAAATAAAGTACTATTAAAACTGTAAATTATATCTTTGTATCATCAGGCAATTTCTAATTAGCAAGCAAAAGTAAAATATGAGTTTTTAAATCCTTATCCTTTGGGGACTCATTTACTAAAACAAGACATTTAGATTTGTAGAATTAACTGCCAGAAGGTTCTGAAGCTCAAATGATTGCTTCTGAAGATAGAGGAAAGTAGGGAAGGTGGGTTTCCGGCAGAAAGTATTCTGCAGTAGATTATTTTAGGTTTTTAACTATGTGCTCCATCACTAACTTTTTTAAAGGGCAAGCTTCTGAAACAAAAATATTTCCCAAATCTGCTTTTCCTCTTCATAAATAATTTGTTCCTCTCAATAGAGAGCAATAGCATCACTGTTACTCAGACCACAAATATATATGCACTAATAATTCCAATTTCACCCCAAAAAGATAGCCAATAAAATACTGGAATATTGTCAGCTTTTAGTTAAAAAGGCATTGTGAGAACTGAAAAACCCATAATTATAGCGGCTCAAGGAGATGTTAATAATATTCAATAAAGAAAGGATATTCTATAAATCACTAAAAGATTAAACCTTGTTTTCCAATTAGCTAAAGATGAAGTTCAATCCTCTTAACCTAGCATTCAAAGCCATGAATAGAATGGCCCCAGTGAAGGGGTGTGGGTGCAGGTGATTTCCCTCAGGCCTATGGCTGAGTCACCAGTGCTGATTCTCTAGGCTGGGCAGAGTCCCGCCTTAGAATCTATTCCAAGGGCAGCGAGCTGGGCTGAGAGAATGTAGCCACTGCAGAGAGCATGGGAGGTCGAGAGACTCCTCCAGGCGCTGGGGCCAAGGGCCGCCTCCCTGCCCTGGTGTTGCTTCTCCAACTCCTCTGAGCTATTCCTTGCCATTTGTCTCTTTTCTTCTCATGTAAGCCAATCCAGGCTGGGGTTCTGTGATTGCAACCATGAATCCTAAAATAATTCAGTTTTATCTCCAACTATTCACCTTTCTCAATTCTCTTTTAGACAAACATATGACTCACTCATTTTCCCATGAAAAGACCTTTTGTGGTTTTTAACTCCTCTCTAAAATGCCCTTCTCTCCCCTTCCTCATAATTTTTTTGTATTTCACCTAAAATAGAAAAATAATGTGCTCATTTCCTTAATTGTGACTCAGTGCAATAAGTTATTTAGAAAAATCAATCACTGGGCTCTTGACTGTTTAACCTAAAAATAAACTATGTTCTCTATTTCCAGTAATCAAGTGGCATAAAGTACACAAACACCAACAACAGGTGGGTAACACTGCAGTAAAGCACTTAGATCCTGGGGTTGGACTCTTGAGGAAGCCACTCACTCTAACAAACAATTACGTTTTCTAATCCAGTTACCTCACTGCTAGAATGGGGAAAATAATAATTCATAAGGTACACAGTGCCTGGTGCACAGTAGATGCTTAATAATTGGTAGTTGCTTTAGCTACTCTTACTATAAACAAAGTGCCTTGAAAATCTTACCAATGTTTTCCACTTTTTTTGCCCTGCATCAGGCTCTAACCTGAGGGAACTGCAGCATTGATAAAGATTGCTAATGTTAGATAAACATTTTCCTGGCTGTCTTTCTCATACCAGTTTTGCAACTTTACTGAGTTATTGGGTACAAAATAGTATATGATTAATGGAAAAAGTGAGTGAGTGAGTCACTATGCATTTTGTGATTACAGAGAAAGAGGACATTAGTGGTATGGGCCACAACCAAAAAAGAGCTGTGACACAGAGGCAGCCCAAGCTCTTACAGGATGGGAAGACCTGGGAAGGTGACAAGTCTTCCTCTAAAGGCAGCTGCTCTCCAACTTTGGGAGTGAGGTGCATCGAGCAGCCGCACAGGTGATCCGGACAGAGGCCAAAGGTCTGGGGAGGGACCTGAGACTTGGCTCTAGAGGTAACTAGGAGCAGGATCACGTGCTTTGGCTGAGGACAGAGGCACTGAGAGTTTGTTCAGAATAGCAAGAAATGATGGAACAAATAGTACAACCAAATGGAAAAGAGAAGGTGACTGAAACCCTCTTACTACCTAAAGGAATACTACAATTAAAATACTAATTCTTTAAACTATAATGAGTTGTCATAAGTAACATATAAGTAAATATAAGATATATATATTTCCCATGCATTTTTCAAAATCTTCCCCAAATTAAGTTAAAAACAAGCAGGAATATCTTTTTGTTATGTTCATAACTAGAAAATCAATCTCTATCAAATGTTTAGACAGCAAACTTAAGGAAAATCCTGCCTCATAAATTTACGCAGGGGTCCTTAAACTTTTTAAACAGGGGCCAGTTCACTGTCCCTCGGGCTGTTGGAGAGTGCGGCGCACTGTGGGCTTGGGATGAGTTTGCTGCTAAGCAGGACAGGCAGCGGCGGGCCAGATAAATGTCCTCAGCAGGCCGTAGTTTGAGGACCCTTGGTTTACAGTGCTGTAATTTATTAAACATTTATCAAGATATCAAAAACATTAGATTCCAAACATGAACTCTCAAAAAAACCTTACTTGGAACGTAAATAAAATTAGATATCGTATCTAATTGAGTCTTTTTAATATTTTTTTTATGAAGCATTTGCCAAAGTTTTAAAAAGTCCAGTAGCCTATGTTGTCACATCCTTAGGTCCTTTTTGGATTTTAACCTTACTCACTTCCTTAATTCACAATAACTGCCACAAAGAGATACAGGTTTAGAAAATAAGGGTTCCTTTTTCAGTAGCCAACATTGGATGCCAATAACACTGTCTATTTTGTGAAAGATAATTGGAGACCTTGAATTAATAGTTACATCTTTAATTTTAAATTATAATAGAGGTAGCATAGAAAATGGCATTTCTTTTGAAAGAATGAACTTCAATTTAAACTATACCGGTATCTGATAAAATGACCACGATATGATATAGCTAAACAAGTTGATTTAGTGGTAAAATCCTTCATGGATTAGATAAGAAACAAACACAAGACAGGTGCTGTCTTGCCAATGACGTAGACATAACTCAGAACTATTGAGACTAATGTGGATTCCTAATAACTAAGCTCCACTCAACTGAAGTTCTCCTGGCAGTCAGGCCTACTACCTACAGAGACCTTTACATTCTTTCCAAGTATTTAAACAGTTCTAAAAAATACACACACCCATATATTAACAGTAGTTGCTGGAGAGAAGGAAAATGAAGGTGGGAGTGGAGAAAGAGAATCTTTTACTTTTCCTCCACATACCTCTGAGTTGTACCCTTCTTTATCGCCATGCGTATAACCCTGGCGTATGCACTAGCTTCCGCCGCCCTCCCCCGCAAAGCGCTGCATGAGACTACATCGGAACACACACACCCTTCTGTCCTCTCTGTATGGGAAGGTCTCTACAGAATAGTGCTTGCTCAGTCTCATACCTGCATGTTAGGACATTTTAAAGGAGTAGGAAAAAAATGCTGACACAATCACAGGTGATCATCCCAATAGAACAAAACAGTAAATATATTTCCTCAACTATGTTACCTGATCAGGAAAAAATTCTTGAAGAAATGGACCCAATAATATGATTCCTAATCCTTCTGGATCTAATTTATTCTTCATGAGATTTATACTATGGGGAGAAGAAAAAAAAAAAAAAGAAAAGCAGTGGATACCAAAGGAAAAAAAAAAAGCTTATTTTTCTTCTTTCATGATTAAATTACTGACTGGTACTATAACACATTCGACTGCCAAAAATCCTAAGAGTGTTCTTTTTAGAACCTTAATGACAAATACACAGGAATGACATCTAATTTGCCAAAACTTAGTTATTTTTAAACTAGAGTAATCTGTTACTATTTAAAATTTAAATTATGACGACGACTTTGGAATATTGTTCCTTATTAGGTAAAGCAATTTAAAAACCAAGGCTTATAAACTCAGGCTTATAACCTCCCAAAGGCAAATTCTGTTTGCTTCACATAGGTATGCCTGGCTTTAACTACAGAAAATGTTTAATTAAGCCCAATTAGAAAAATAAATAGTATCAAAAGGCAGTGGTGCATCAGATAATCGTTTTTGACTCTTAAAAAGCTTACTTTCAAGAACTACGCATAAGATAGAGGCTTAAAATTCTTAGGTAAGGTAGCCTGAAGGTTAAGAGGCAAGGTAATTCTCAGAGAGCCAAATTATAGCAGATAGTAAATGGTATGTACTTCATTGGTCCAGCAGCAACCTACAGTGAATAGTGCTTTGCACAGCCCTTACCATTTAGGTGTATCAAAGCTTGGTGGATAGGTGTTGCTAGGTGTGGCTAGAAAGGAGGCAAAGAAAAGTACACTGCCGTTTGAAGGGTTTAAAAATTAAAATGGTCTTCAGAAAAGTTTTACTGTCCATGTTATCTTACACTATAAACGTCGAGTTACATATATCTTATATAATACGCAAAGTGTTGCATTTGGGGGTTTCAGATAGTCCTAGTTAACTAAATTTCACCAGGAGTGACTTCTCCCCTTACAAATTCATATCAAAGATGAGTCAAGACACTGGCTTAGAGTGTGGAGAATCTGCCCCATCCCGTTCTTACAACTGTATTCAGTCTGGGTCAGCTCCCAGGCGTGCCTTTCATAAAAGGAGTGTAAGCTATTCTTGTAAGGGTAAACTTTAAGGTTTATGAAAGTTGCATGTGTGCTGAAGTAGCCTAGTCTCCTGGAAATCCCTGGCGCAGGCTGCATCATACTAAGTGACACATAGCCATAGGCCCATCTAAGGATCTTCCAGGGCCAGTACTATCATTAATTCTACAGCCAGGATATATCTCTACTGTACTTTAAGAGTAAAGTACACCACACAAAGGATATGACAACCTAATGGGTCTGAGTAAAGCCAGAAGATTATGACATGAAATAAATGAAGGCAAGGTCATATTATATTTAACATTTAATTTAGTTAGTCCTTAGTATAGCCACGTTAGGCTATGGGCCATCACATACTATAAATGTGAATAGGCCAAACTCAGTCCAATCTTTCCACTAGTTCTAGAAAAACAACCTAACTGAATCCATTGCATCAACTTGATAATTCAAGGTATGCTATTTACTCTGATGAAATAGAAAACATAGGTAGATATGTAAAAGTTAAAAAAAAAAAAACCTTAACTTTTTCTTCTTTCCTAAGAATCATCAGTAACCAAAATTACTTGAGTTCAAATTTCTCTTATAAATTAGAGCAGTATAAAAAAGATAGTCTCTATTTGGAAATAAGTCTAGAGGAAATATAGTAATTACTCCTATTATTAGAGCAATTCAACTCTTAATTTATCCTCTAAGTTGAAAATAAGAATGGATGAAATCCAAGCTCTATGTGCTAAGATTGAGACACACTAAATCAGATATGAGTTTATAAATGTTTATATATGTGTTATATACTTTCAGAGAAAGCATGCCTGAACTTACCTGAGAACACAATAGGACCAAGTTCTACCAACTATGTTTACCAATGTTCCACGCTGTTTTTCCTAAACCCTTTCATTTTCTTTTATAAGCTAAAGTTTTTTATTGTCAGAAAAAAAGTTGTACATAAAAAAATTAATATACATCCTAGGTGATCTTATTTCCCTATGTGTTCAATACATGTGTATTTACTTCACAAGAGAGTTATTTTCTCATGGATAATAACTAAAGATCTGAAATCTATGAATGAAGTTACAGATGTAACAATGTATAAAACATAACTGAGAAAGAAGACGATGACAAGAGACTAAGGCAATACTGAAGAATCATATTCTGCAACATATTGCAGTTACTCACAAAGGTTTCAGATCAGTCGATTTAATCATTTAGAAATGTTTCATGTTTTTGATGATCTTTTAAATAAAAATGAAATGTCAGAGGCCTGCTGGTTATTTAAGCAGGACAACTAAGAATACATTATGCAGAACTGTCATTACTTTAACTGAAGCTACTAAAGATACATGGAAAAGTCATATTTACAGTTTATAGAAAAAGACATATTTGTACCGTTTTTAAAAAAAGCAATACAGTAAGTGCGGGGTGGGAAAGGAAGCTCATTTTACATATGTCAACTCTCTGCTATAATATTGGAGTAGTCTGACTTCTTCCTACATCTTCGCTTCATATAAATTGCTATGCTTTGTATATGCAGATTTAGATTTAAAAAGGCAAAAATGTACAGTATGTCTTAAATTTAATGGAATCTTTTCGAGTTGGTTAAATAACACTTCCGATGTAACTCACTATTCAGGATCTGAAACAAGGTCCAACGCTTTCATCACATCTTCCAGAAGTGAATCGGGTATGAATCCATTATCTGGGGTGAAAAAATCAGAAAAAACTTGAAATAAGAATTTACTTCAAGAAATGCTATTGTTGCTAAGATTCCAGGAAAAATCACATAGAAAATACACAAAGAATTAAGGAACAGTATATTAAGTTTATTTTAGGCACAATGCCTATTATTATCAGATATACTCTGATATTAGTTTTTTGGGGCACACAGGCAAAGATTTATTTTCACAGTTAATTTCAAATAAAAATACTAACCATACCCTGAGAACCCTCATGAAAGTTAGTCAAATTTTATCACAAATTTAAATGAGTAAAAGGATTTTTCTATTTAAAATTATAATCATTCAGTAATCAATGAATGTTTATCATTTCGATAAACACACTGAAGCTTTACATTCCCATTAAAAACTCCAATTAAAAGAATTCTTTACCAACAAATTCCTCCTTTTGTCACAATGTTATTTAGATAACTGACAATATAAGAGCAAGGAAAGACATCTCATAACACACTTGGCAATTTAAAGAAAAGCCACAGAAGCAATGGAAAAAACATTCAAAGTTGAAATGCAAAGTCAATCTTAATGATGA